TTTGACACACATTTATTCTGGGGAGTCATATTGTATGGAAACAGCATGAACTTTGAAATTTGGCAGGCCTGGATTTGAACCTCAACTACATGTCTTGAGCAAGCTACTGACTAGACTACCCCCCCGCCCATTTTTAGTGAGATATAATTGACATATATCACATTGTATAAGTTCAGAGTATACAACATAATGATTTATGTCTATATCGTGAAATGCTTACCACAGTAAGTTTAGTAAACAGATTTCCCTGCACATGATTAACATTTTTTTCTTGTGATAGGAACTTTGAAAATCTAGCTCTCAGAAATTTTCAAATATAAGATACAGTGTTGGTAATTATAACCATGCTGTATATTACATTCCCAGAACTTAACTAGAAGTTTCTACCTTTAGATTGCGTTCACCCATTTCCCATCCCCATTCCTTACTTCAGGCAACCACCAGTCTCTTCTCTGTTTTTATGAATTTGTTTGTAGATCTCATCACCTTTTTTGTAGATCTCACATTTGTTTGTAGATCTTCACAAAGTGAAGTCATACACACTTTGTTTCTCTGACTTATTTCACGTAGTGTAATAAAGCCCTCAGTGTTCATCCATGTTGTTGGAAATGGATGTTCTTTTTTATGGATGAATAATGTTCCATTGTGTATGTGTGGATACGTGCACATGCTACCGTAGTTTTGTTCATCTGCTTACTGTTGGACAAACTGAAGTGGTTTCTGTGTCTTGGCTTTGGTGAATAATGCACTGACAATGAGGATGCAGACATATGAGATTGTGATTTCCTTTCTTTTGGATATATATACTTGGAAGTGGAATTGCTGGATCATATGCGTGTTGTATTTTTAACTTTTGGTAGAACTTCCATATTGTTTTTTGGTAGTGGCTGCGCCAGTGTACATCACCACCAACAGTGGCCAGCTGTTCCCTCTCTTTTCTCTACATCCTTACCAACACTTGTTATCTTTTGTCTTTTTGATGATCACCTTCATAACATGTGTGAAGTGATATCTCACTGTGGTTCTGATTTACATTTCCTTGATGACTGGTAATGTTGAACCCTTTTTCACGTACCTGTTGGCCATTTGTATGTCTTTGGAGATGTCTATTTTGATTCTTTGGCCATTTTTAAATTGGATTATTTGTTTGTTTGTTTTCGCTGTTGAGTTCCTTATATATTTTGAACATAAAGTCCTTATTGGATATTAGGAATTTCTTATTATGGAATAATAATCAAATATTTGGATCACTTATTATATTATGGATTAGATGTGTGGTTTGAAAATATTTTCTCCCAATCCGTAGGTTGCCTTTTCATTTTGTTGTTCACTTCTTTTGCTGTGAAGAAGCTTTTTAGTTTGATGTAGTCCTATTTGCTTACTTTTTATTTTGTTGCTGTGCTTTAAGGTGTCACATCTGAAAAATCATTGCCAAGACCCATGTCAAGGAAGTTTCTTCCTGTGTTTCCTTCTAGAACTTTTATGGTTTTTGGTCTTACATTTAAATCTTTAAACCACTTCAAATTAATTCTTGTGAGTGGCATAGGACAGTGATCTAGTTTCCTTCTTTTGCAAGAGAACTTCCAGTTCTCCCGGCAGCATTTATTGAATAGACCAATCTTTTCCCACCGAATACTCTTGGCTCCTTTGTCAAGTATTACTTGAGTGTATACGCACAGGTTTGTTTCTGGGCTCTTCTCTTCCACTTGTCTATTTGCTTTTAAGTCAGTACCATACTGTTTTGATCAACATAGCTTTGTAATATTGTGTGAAATCAGGAGATGTGATGCTTCCTGTGTTCCCATTTCTCAGTACTGTTTTGGCTATTATTAAGAGTATTTTGTAGTTCCAGACAAATTGTAAGATTATTTTCTCTATTTCTGTAAAAAAATGCCATTGGAATCTTGATAGAGATTGTATTGAGTCTGTAGACATCTTTGAGTAGTATGGATGTTTTAACAGTATTAAATCTCCCAATCCCTGAGCATGGACTGTCTCTCCAATTATTTGTATCTTCTTTAGTTTTCTTTCATCATTGCCTTATTATTTTCAGTGTAGAGGTTTTTACCTCCATGGTTAAAAATGTTCTTATGTATTTTACTGTTTTCGGTGTTATTGTAAGTGACTTTATTTTCTGTATTTCTTTTTCCGATAAATTGTTAGTGTATAGAAATACTACTGGTTTTTCAGGTTTTTTTTTTTTTTTTTTTTTTTTGGTTTCTGTATGTTGATTTGGTATCTTCTACCTTTACTGAATTCATTGATTAGATCTAACAGGTTTTTGGCGGAGTTTTTAGGATTTCTTATGGATAAGATCTTGTCATCTGTAATGATGCTTAGGTGGCTCAATCTGTTAAATATCTGCCTTGGGCTCGGGTCGTGATCCCAGAGTCCTGCTTCTCCTTTTCCCCCCACTGCTTGTGCTCCCTCTCTCTCTCTTGCTGTCTTTTTTTCTCTCTCAAATAAATAAAATCTTTAAAAAAAAATAATGTCATCTGCAAACATTATTTTACTTCTTCTCTGATTAAGATGCCTTTTATTTATTTTTCTTATCTAATTCCTCTGGCCAGGACTTACATGAGTGTGATTTAAGAGAAATGGGAAGCATGGATGCCTTTGTCCTGTTTTTTATCTTGGAGAAAAAGCTTTGACCCCTACACCATTGAGTCTGATGTTAGCTGAGGGTTTGTCATGTATGGTCTTTATTGTCTCATGGTACAGTATTCTGCACCCAGTTGGTTGAATGTTCTTATTATGACTGGAGTTGAATTTTGTCAGATAGTTTTTCTGTTGAGACGAACATGTGATTTTTGTCCTCAATTCTATTAATGTGTTGTGTCACACTTCTTCATCTGCGTGTGTTGAACCACCCTTGTTTCTGAGGGATGAATTCCACTTGACTGCGGTGTAGTATGCTGTTGAATTTCATTTACTAGTATTCTATTGCAATTTTTGCATCTGTATTCATGAGGAATATTTACATGTAGTTCTCTTGTCTTACAATGTCCTTATCTGGCTTTGCTATCAGGATAATAATAGCCTTATAAAATGAGTTTGAGAGCATTCCCTCCGCTTCTGCTTTTTGGAAGAGTTTGAAAAGGATTGGTATTCATTCTTTTTTAAAATGTTTGACAAAAATTATCAGTAAAACTCTCTCCAGTCCTGTGCTTTTCCACAGTGGGATATGTTTCAGTCTCTTCACTCGTTATTGGATCTATTCAGATTTTCCATTTCTTCATGACTTAATCTTTGTAGGTTGTATGTTTTTAGGAATTAGTGCATTTCTTCTAGATTTCTTCCACATTACCTACTGTGAACAGCTCTGTAGCTTATGTCTCCTTGTATTTCTGTGGTATCAGGTGATGATCAGACATTTCTGAAGTAGATTCTTCATCTGTAAGATGGGGATAGTAACACTGAACTCTAGAACGATGAATGAGATAATGGGTCTAAAACATCCAGAATAGTGTCTGATACTCAGTCAAAACTAAACAAAAGTGAGTTATCCTCTCAGAGAGAGGCCCACAACAGTTTTCTCTTTTCCCTTCTTATAAAACAGATGGAAATTGAGAAGAGAGGACCTTTAACAACCGGGAGACTAGAATTTGTGCTCCTAAGAGAGAGATCACAATCTGTGTTTTATCTTAAAAAAAAACATACACAGCTTAGGAAGAAAAGAATGGTAGTTTTTTAAGGTTACGTGGTTGGATAAACAGTAAAAATCATTTGAAAATATATGTGTTACTTAAGAGTGCCATGCAAAAATTATCAGAAATGAAGCATTGCAGGGCGCCTGGGTGGCTCAGTTGGTTAAGCGTCTGCCTTCAGCTCAGGTCATGATCTCAGGGTCCTGGGATCGAGCCCCACATCAGGCTCACTGCTCAGTGGGGAGTCTGCTTCCTCTACTCTCTTCCTGCTCATACTGTTTTTCTCTCTCACTCTCTCTCTCCCTCAAATGAGTAAAGAAAATCTTAAAAAAAAAAAAAATTAAGCATTGCATATTTGGCCGCTGAGTACAGTGATTCATATGTATCTCGTAGTCACATATTAACAAAATTACGCATTGGTCAGGTTCAGTTATTAAAAGTTCATTTTTTTCTCATTTTGAAATTTTAAAACATTTATATTATAATGGTGTTTTAAAACCTTGCTGTTCATTTTAGCAGTTGAATCAATGAAGAGTTACTTCTTTGTTGGTTTTGTTCAATGTTGTTGAGCCTTTTTGGCATAGGGCTGTTCTATTATGTTGTAACTATTTTTTTTTATGTTAACAAAATCTATTTAAATTATATTTAAAAATTATGAGAGTAGAGCCAATATTTTAGTTTTTCAAAGACTTTATTATGTCTACAGACAATTGGGAAATCTGTTTTTGTATTTTTCAAAACTAACGTCATTTTCCTTATTTACTTTCTCTAATATAGAGTATTCATTGGATTTGTTTTAATGTATTTTTTCTGACTTCAGGAGTGAAAAATGTTATCTGAAAATTTCTCAGGTTGTATTTTGTTGTGAGAATGCTATGTTGCCTATTTATTCTTATATCATTAGTTGAAAGTTGAATGAATATGCTTTATTATTTCTAAGCAATACAGTATACATAAGCAATACTAAATTTCTACTTTTATAGTGACCAAGCAATGTCAGTGGCTTAGAAAAAAATGTGGATCTTGAATTTGTTTTGATTACTTAATCACTGTAAGCATTTATAAACTTTGTTCCTCATCGATATGTTCATTTAGAGATAATACTGTGTGATTTGTGCAATTATTTTTGGGAATAGTTGAAGCTTTAAAAGAATTGCACGTTGTAAATTTCTGTGCCTTGTGGAAATAAAGTAAGTATGAAGTATGATGGATACTGGTTTTTCAGTGTTTCTCATTTCAAGTGGCACGTGTTATAAATTAACATCTTGGTGTATGTTTTAGGTCTTTTCCCATGTTAAGTGCGTACTATCTTTTTTAAAAATTTGAGTCTCATTTATTGCCTCATTTGAACAGGTGCCTCAATGCTTGTACTTACTGCAAAACTAAACACGCCAGAGGAAATTTGGCCAGTTACCCAATAGAAGAACTAGTAGAAAGAGCCAAACAGTCTTTTCAAGGTAAGATTTTCTAGAATTATGTGCGATTTTAGCCTTCTTAATAAATTATAATATTCTTCTAAATAACCCTTCACTTTAACTACATGATGCTGCTTTAGCTTTCTGGAGAGTTTATAAATATTTTAGCCTATGTAGCAGAAATGTTACCAGATTCAACCAACCAGGTTCTAGTTTTCATATTACTCTTCTTTTACTACTTTTCCATCTTCCATTTTCTTATGATGTATCTTGAATTTTATCACCCACTGTCACTTCATAGAAAAGACAAAAAATAAAAAATAAAAATGAAATCCATGACCATCTAATGTGCATGAAGACTTTTGTGGACTGAGTGAACTACTTTTCAAGATTTCCAACTCTTTCTTTGGTAATTTTTGGACATTTGGAATGTAGAGTGAATAATTATTTCCAGGAGCCTTGAAAAAGGTAGATTTTACTATCAGTCAATAAAGATCACCCTCAAAAAAAAAAAAGAAAAAAGATCACCTTCTTTATCTGCAGAACTGTGGACCAGCAAAGAGTGGTACGGGTAAAGAGACCTAATGAGAATAACTCTGTGTAGGTGGCCAGCTGCTTCCAAATCATCACTTGCTGGAAAATGTGATTGTTTAGCTATCTCTCTGCGTATAATGAGACTTATCTTTAATGTGAGTCACAGTTGTGTTGACACTAACTGCTTAAACCATAGACTTTCTCTTTTGTCTTTGTTTATAATATGTGCGTATAACATTGGTGTGTCTTTACACCCAACATGATATAATCTATTGTCTCATAATCTTGCGGGTTAATAGTTATTGGCAATGTACTTGTCCTTTTAGCGAGTAACTTGGAGTGCTACTTTCAGTACTTCACACCCTAGAAGTGATAGTATGAGTTCTGAACACGTTTCTTTATTTAATCTGTGAAAGCCTTTATCAACATGAATTTGGAATGTTCTTCATAATAGACAGAAAAGTACCTTGATTGATTTATGAACACCTCCCAACAAATTCGTTCTATTTTTACAACCTGAGTTCAGTCCCTTCCTTCATTCACATCCAGCTTATATTGAACAAGAAACAAGAGGCAGCTCATCGACTCCTGCCAGCGTTCTGTTTTAGAGCCAGGTAATTGTCTAATATGAAGAGCAGTCTGAGTGATTGTCTTTTGTACAACATGACTACATTAAGGAGTGTTCAGAAAGGGCATACATTTGCACAGAAACCTCATCTATTTGAAAAATGATGCCTTTCCTGGCATTCTAAATTGGTGTTTATTTTTCCATATATCTGTCAGAAAATGGAGATATTAAAACTCTATGATCTATCCACCAAACACTGCAAATTGGTAGGAGTATGAATTAGTTCTTTCCAAGTACTTTTCCAACATTATGCCTTTCTCTCCGCAGCTAAATGTAAGTCTTAAAACATCTTCTCACTTGACTCTGAAAATTTATTTTAAAGATCTACAACTGATAAATCACCATCTAGGAAGTGAAGGTATTCTCTTTGCTCCCTTATATCTATCTTCACCTATAACCTCTCCTAACATTTTTTTTTTTTAAAGATTTTATTTATTTATTTGTCAGAGACAGAGGGAGAGAGAGCGAGCAAGCACAGGCAGACAGAGAGGCAGGCAGAGGCAGAGGGAGAAGCAGGCTCCCTGCCGAGCAAGGAGCCCGACGTGGGACTCGATCCCAGGACGCTGGGATCATGACCTGAGCCGAAGGCAGCCGCCTAACCAACTGAGCCACCCAGGCGTCCCCTAACATTTTGATGTGATTGTTTCATGACTTAGTATGGACACATTGATTGATTGATTTTTATTTAGATTCAGTTAATTAACATATAGTGTATTATTAGTTCCAGAGGTAGAGTTCAGTGATTCATCAGTCTTGTATAATACCCAGTGCTCATTACATCACGTGCCCTCCTTAATTGGACACATTTATGTATTACGCTTGACTCGAGGTGAAAACCAGAAAGGAATAATCAGTTTTTATAAACTAATTGTAGATTTTTTTCCTAAAGATATCCAACTTAGTTCTCTGATTTATGTTACTTATCTTTAGAAATGCCCTCTGAGCAGTGGAAGTACAGGGTGTGACTTCGTTCAGACTTTATTCTCACTTAGCATCGTCATAGCCAAAGTGGGTTGGGCCAGTTAAGGTGAATGTTACAAAGACTGTATCCGAGGTCAGCAGCGATGTAGCGTTTATTTACTCACAGAGAAAGCACTCGAAGAGAGCCAGTTAGTATTGCTTTCATCATCGTGAGCGTGTGTTTCGGTATGTGTGTGTAGGTGTGTTGCCTTTTTATTCCCGACCCTGGAACTTCCATTGTCTTGGTATCTGTGTGTTAGAGTTGAAACCAATTGCTACTTTTGGACTGGTGAGCTCATTTGATTCATGTATGGTAGTGTTACTAAAATATTGAGGTCATAACTTCCTAGGCAAGGCAGGATGGTTAGGAGAACTTTAAGTAGTTAGGTATTCAATGCTCTTTGCCATAGGAGAGTTTGAATATGAAAAGTGTTCCGCAGCTGACCAGCCACACCAGTCTGAAGAAGGTACTTGCCCCCTCCAGGTCATGGTTTCCTTGTTACTGTGACGTTTCATATTCTTTGTTGTTAGAATTTGAGATAACTTACAGGAAGTAATTGGCTGTGTTCTTCTTATGAAGAAGACATGCTACTGAAACTGCTTAAACTGAAGGAATTTAAGTGAATCCAAGAAGTCTAATTTTGAGGGAAAATATTGAAACATCTGTAACAGGCATTAACGAATAGAGTCAAATGACAACTTTTCTTTTGATGCTAAAACATATTTTAGGACTCTGTAGATAGAAACTCTTTAGTGTGACCATTACCTTTCATTCTCTTAATTTGAGAAAAGCAAACTTGTGCTGAAAATGGCCGTATACTCTTTTTCCACTATAGGAGGTGCCTGTTGATAGCTTACATTTTAAAGGGATTGAGTTCATTTTCTTTTTTTCTGCAAAAGACATTGGGATGTTACTGATCTTACAGATTTTTTATATGTGAACTTTTAAAATTGTGAAGAATAATTATGAAGGTAAATAGAAGAAATTCTCTCTTATCTCTGTGATTTTTGCATATTTAATTCTAAATAATTCAGGTGTTAGGAATATCCTTTGAGCTAGAACCCCTTAAATTCTGCGCGATACCATTATTATTAAATGGCCCTATAATTAATAATAAACAATGTGGTTCTTCGAAAGGCTGCTTTAAGATGAAGACCCTTTTAAATATGTTGCCAATAAATTTGATGAGAGCTACTCTGTGGAAGTTAATTTCCCATCCTGAAAGGTCATTTCCTTTCTTTTTCTTAAAGTTTTTGATGACTTTGTGTCAGAAATACCAAATGACTTTCAAAAACTCTGTACCAGTTGTAGAAAGGGGATAGAACCCAGATTGCCTGGCCTATGATAGAATAAGAGCACAGTTTCTTTCTGAATAGCATATTTATGAAACATTTTATATTCATATAAATTTATTTCATGGTGGTCTAATGAGTGGAGAGGCTAAGGGCTGACCCAAAGGGAAGGGAGCATTCAGAAGAGATTCTGAAATAATCATGGAATCGTTCTGAATGTACAGTGGATTCCCAAAGCACCAAAAATATACTGACTATACATTCAGCTGCCAGAAACTGAGAGAGCTCATTAAATTTTGAATGGATAGAATTAAAATAAAAATTATTTATATTTTTAAATAGAAATTTTAATTTGCCTTTTACAAAAAATACATGCATATATAATGTGTATAATATACATATTAATACATTAATATGTACATTACATTCATATGTACAATACATTAATACATATGTAATATGTATGTATTTAGTTTATAGTTAATTGATTTCCTTGCCTTCCCCCCCCCCCTTTTTCTCTCAACCCAGTCCCCTTGACATTTTCACTTTCTCAATGTGTTTATCATTTTTGTGGCCAGTCTTGAATGTGAGTATAAGATTTATCACGTAACTTGAGTTTCTCCTCTCATTGTTCTAACAGCCTGTGGGGAAACCTTCCCCCTCACCTCCTCACCTCTGCTGAGATTCAGGTTTTAAAAATTCCTGGGCATCGTGGTGTTCGGGGACCGGGGTTTGACATGGTTGCATTTTAGATATCTAGAAAAACATGTCAGGCTGTGACCAGGACTTTGTTGGGGCCAGAATGAATTTACAAGCTAGTGTTTTCTAGGATATTTGTATTGATTTTTCTCTAGCAGCTAATCAATCAGTTTCAGTTGTATAAGTGATGGAACAAACCTTTCTAAGTGTGCTGGGTGAGTGGTGTGGAAACAGCACCTTTCACTGCTGCCTCTGGAATCAAAATGTAGAGATGATGGATGAGCTATTTTTATAGCGATTGTGTGCTTTTCTAGATCTCATTTGTGTGTTGCTACTTTTTTCTCCCTCATGAATCTGAAAACCCTTGCAGGGTAAGTGGCATAAACCGGTTATGGAAAGGTAAATAAATTAAGGTGAAATATTCAGAGCAGGGAGAGAGTTTCTTGGTGTTTAGTGATTTTAGTATTAATGTTGAAATTTAAAAAAATGAATTCTGTTTTATTTGAGACTTGCAAAGTTGCTGTTTTTTGTGTGTGAGATTAATTATGAAATGCATCTAGAAGACATTACCTCCTGACCTTTTATGTAGGGAAGGACATGAGCAGTATTTGATTTTCGGATGTATGAACTTGGATCGTCGAGTTTTACAGTTTTTATCAAGCCACGTTTGACTCATCACTGTTAGCAGTGATTGCTGTATATTGATTCTGATCTGAGATCGGAAAGGAGACCAATAACTACATCCTGTTAATTTATACGGCAGTTATTTAAATGTCTCGTTTACTCCTGTTTTCATTTGTGCTGTGTTGACATAGAGAAATTTCTTTCTTCTGTAGGATTAATAATTTAATTTAAGTGTTCGTTATATACTGTCAACTTCCAAGGAGGATTTTAGGTAGCTTACATTAAAGGGTTGTGCATGTGGGCA